AAGCAAAAATCTGGATGTGTAAATAGTGTCTCACATTCTTTACAATTATTTCACATTTTAATATCTCGATAAACAAAAAAACAATTAGATGATTGAATATGCAAATTAAAGACAAAACCAAGCCATTTCTAATAAGCCTATTTCCAAATGTGTGCTGATTTTCGTTTGCTTGTAATAATATTTTAAATTTCCTCAAATTTAATACATTTATTATCATGTATACTTGGTTGCATATATGTTGAATAATATTTTTGTGTCTTCATTGTTAATAATGTTAAACTATTATTAATATTAGAAGAATTTTAAAATTTTCTTCTATTCATGCATTTTCTGTTAAATATAACAAGTAAATTAATAATGAAATTGTGACGATTTTTTGAGTCTTCGCGTTTTATTAAATTACTAAATATCCATAAACATCAAATAGATAGTGGGAAATGTAGATTAGAGAAAAAACTATAAGCCTTCTTCGAGATTTGTGCTTCTTGTTGTTTGTTTATAATAAAATTTAAAAAATCTCTAACAACAATTAATTAGTGTATCCATGGTTGCATATATACGTGAATCATATTTGTATGTTTTACGTTATATTTAATTACTCAAAAACGATAGAAGTCAATTGAATCAACGTACATTCAGATTGAAGAAAAAACTATGGGCTTTGCAATAAGCCCACTTCGAGATTTAAGCTCTTCATAGTTTGATTGTAATAAAATTTGAAAATTCAATAGAGATTAACTTTTACGTGTATATTTGCTTGCATACTAATACATATTTTTTTTGCAATTACATTTTATATAATTACTCAAGAAGAATGCAAGTTAAAGGGATAATTGAAAATGCAAATTGAAGAAAAAATTTTGGTCTTTCCAATAAGTTTACTTCGAAATTTGTAATAAAATTTCAATTTTTTTTAGAGATTAAATTCTACGTGTATATTCGGTTGCATATTTATCTGAATATATTTCATTATTACACTTAAACATACTTTATATATATATTTCAGGTTGATTTTCACTTCTTTTCATATACTTTTTCACTATTTACACATACAGTTTTGCTTTCTCACATTCTTTACAATTATTTCACATTTTAATATCTCGATAACCATGAAAAACAATTAGATGCTTGAATATGCAAATTAAAGACAAAACCAAGCCATTTCCAATAAGCCTACTTCCAAATGTGTGTTCATTGTCGTTTGCTTGTAATAACATTTTAAATTTCCTCAAATCCAATATATTTATTATCATGTATACTTGGTTGAATAATATTTTTAAACTTTTTGTGTCTTCATTGTTAATCATGCATTTCAATAGTTAATCTATTATTAATAATATTAGAATAATTTTAAATATTTCTTCTATTCATGCATTTTCTATTAATAATAACAAGTAAATTAATAATGAAATTGTGACCATTTTTTGAGTCTTCGCATTTCATTAAATTACTAAATAAGCATAAACATCAAATAGATAGTGGAAAATTTAGATTAGAGAAAAAACTATAACCTTTCCAATAAGCCTTCTTCGAGATTTGTGCTTCTTGTTGTTTGTTTATAATAAAATTTCAAAAATCTCTAACAACAATTAATTAGTGTATCCATGGTTGCATATATACGTGTATCATATTTGTATGTTTTACCTTATATTTAATTATTCAAAAACGATACAAGTCAATTGAATCAACAAACATTCAAATTGAAGAAAAAACTATGGGCTTTGCAATAAGCCCACTTTGAGATTTAAGCTTTTCATAGTTTGATTGTAATAAAATTTGAAAATTCTTTAGAGATTAACTTTTACGTGTATATTTGCTTGCATATACTAATACATATTTTTTTCACAATTACATTTTATATAATTACTCAAGAACAACGAAAGTTCATGGGATAATTGAAAATGCATATCGAAGAAAATTTTTTTGGTCTTTCCAATAAGTTTACTTCGAGATTTGTGCTCTTCATAGTTTCCTTGTAATAAAATTTCAAATTTTTTTAAAGATTAAATTCTACGTGTATATTTGATTGCATATATTAATACATATTTTTATATAATTACTCAAGAAGAACGCAAGTTAATGGGATAATTGAAAATGCAAATTGAAGAAATTTTTTTTGGTCTTTCCAATAAGTTTACTTCGAGATTTGTGCTCTTCATAGTTTCCTTGTAATAAAATTTCAAATTTTTTTAGAGATTAAATTCTATGTGTACATTTGCTTGCATATTTATCTGAATATATTTGTTTTAAGCTTTTAAGTATCCTATCAATATATTGGCAAGTTCCTTATTTGTCAAGTATTACTTGTAAATTTACTTGATAATTGAAGAATTAATATTTTACAGAATAATTTAGATACTTTGAACTGGAAGTGCATTGAGCGCGTGACCTTAAAACGAAGTTCAAAAGATAGTTGACAAAAATAATTCCAAGAACATCGGGTTCTTGAAGATTTGCTAAATGATTCACCGATGATATTATATGATTCACGCAACGTAATGTTTCAATTGTGAAATTTAATATTTTATTTGACAATTTCAAAATTCGCGTCAATGGCAACGTTCGATGAGGTTTTCAAAGCGTTTTCGAAATTCGGCGATACAAATTCCGATGGAAAGACGATCTCGTTGTCGCAGAGCGACAAATGGATGAAACAGGCTGGAATCTTCGATAAAGTCATTACAACTACAGACACGAGCATCCATTTCAAGAAGCTGAAATCGATGAAACTGAATCTGGCCGAGTACAATAAGTTTCTGGACGATCTGGCACAAACGAAGAAAGTCCCAGTGGACGAGATCAAGAGTAAGATGATGAAGTGTTCGATTCCGGGACTGTCTGGAGTGGCGGTGAGTTTCGTTCAAGATTTTGCAAGAGACATGTAAAATCTGTCAATGAGATTTCGAAAATCTACACATTGGTTTTAATTGATACTATACTAAAGGTATGAATTAAACATTTGTTCTTGTTTCTTTCGAATCTTGTCATTGAATTTTGTAAATGCAAGATTTGAAAGCGCTTTATTAGACAGATGGATGCGTTTGTACCCAAGGAATGAGTGATTTGTGAGCAAAAAAAAAAAAACTTGCATTATTTTCTTTGTGTAAAGGTTCCTGTAAATTCGGCGGCCGTGGATCGCCTCACCGACACATCAAAGTACACCGGGGCGCACAAAGAGCGGTTCGACAGTTCAGGAAAGGGCAAAGGGTTGGCGGGAAGGGAGGACGTGACCGAGAACACCGGCTACGTCGGCGGATACAAGAACCAAGGCACCTACGGAAAAAAGTGAACGGAAGTGCGAAATAAATATGAAGAGAAATTGAAAAACGAAATAATAATAAAAAAAAATGATATTGACATATAATTTAGAACACCTTGAACTTGATCTGACCCGATTTATAGTCGTACTTGAAACTGTACTTGAGCTCGTTCTTGAGCTGCCTGTGACCGAGCAGGCAGACGCCTTGTCTAGAGTGCACGTCCCATTGCACTTCGACGCCCACCTCGCATGGTACGATCGGCCCTGTGGTGATGGTGGTCTTCCTGGAATTGCCCACGTCGACGATCCAATCCACCCAGAAGGCTACCCCGTTGCACGAAGACACGCTACAAACAGAAAGATGTTATCCAAATCCGTGTATCTTCATCCTCATATACTACTACTCACTCGTTGAAATCGAAAGAACCGGTGCTTTCGCAAACGTCCCGTCCGTTTATTTTAATGTCGATTGCGGCTATCTCTTTGGGTTGACTCAGCGCCTGACCGGGGTATTCCCACAGAGGCTGGGCTTCCACCTCTTCGTCGCTAATTCCGCTGGATTCCTGTAAATTCAACAACATCAAATGTTACGCAACAACACATATAGCATTAATTCATTGAACCGCCTTTGAAATGCTGCGTGAAAAACCCACTGCACGATTTCCATTTCAACTCGAATTATTCCCATATAAACAAACTTAATATTCATTTATGCATTTGTGTTAAATTCCTTTCAATTGCTTAGTCTATTTTTAGTTTAAATCAATTTACACAATCTTATTATAATTAGTTTAGAAAGATGTTGATTATTTTT